GTCAGTGAGACCACGAACCCAACAGAAGGAAGAAGCTCCAGACATATCTGAACATCTGAAGGTGCAAACTCGAGACATACCATCTTTAAGAACTGTAACACTCACCACAACGTCCCAGCTTCATTCTTGAAGTCAGCAAGACCAAGAACCCACCAATTCCGGACATAATGGCATCTCATGGATGTATCACAGCATCTCAAATTCAACATGTTCAGATCCTGTTTTGGCCAGATCCTCTTCCTCTTTTCTGCATTCCTTCACTCATCTATTGTTTCTATTAAACATATGCTGAATGCCAACCAGGTACCAAATCCTAGAAATGTAGCAACAAATTAGATGGTCCCAGGCCACAAGAAATTTAGACTGGTGCAGCAGTTTGGAACTCTAGCTACAAAATGAGATCACCTGGAGAATCACTATGTTGATTTCTTTAAATAGAAATCCTGCTGGGACTTTGGTTGGAATTTAAATTAATCTATAGATAAGTTTGGAAAGAACTGGTAATTAACAATAGTCTTCCAATCTATGAACATGACATATCTCTTATTTAAATCTTTGATTTATTTCATGGGTGCTTTTTAGTTTCTGCATACGTTTTTTGTTAAAGTTATTCATAAGTATTTCACGGTTTTGGTTCTATTGCAACCAGACTTTTAAATTTTGATTTCTAAATATTTATTGATAAGGCATGAAAATATTACTGGTTTTTAAATAGTAACCTTGTATACTGAAGCCTTTCTAAATTCACTTATTAGTTTTATTGACTTAGTTTATGGGTTATTTGGGATTTTTTGTAGAGGAAGTCATATTGTCTGTGAATAAGGACAGTTTTATTTCATCTTTTTTATCTGTATGAATTTTATTTCCTTTTTCTTGCCTACTGCAAGGACCTTTATTACAATATTGCACAGGAGTGGGGAGCGTGGATAGCCTTACCTTGTTACACATGTAACATTGGTAACGGTTTTCAGGAAGATATCCTGTAGACGATTTTGAGTAATCAAATGAATATTTTAGGAGGGGGACTCCATTTGTAGGGTGAAAGGAGAGTGGAGTTTAGAGTGAGATATACTGGGCTTAAGAGCTGGCTCTCCCATTCACCAGATTTCTAGCCTTAAATGACTTAATTGTAAAATTGAGGAACTAATACTTATTTCACAGATTTTCATGAGACTTAACAGAGATAATGTATAGAAAGAACCTGGGATAGTGCCTAGCATCTAAGAATGTTCATACAATCCCATCTCTACCATACAAAGTCATGTCTACTTTGTGACTTTTTAACCCCTCCAGGCCTCAAGTTTCTCATTAGTAAAAATAGATGTAAGTTATAATGCCCACTTCTAAGGGTCATTGTGGGGATTAAATTATGAATTTAAGTAGAGTAAATAACACACTGCCAAAACAGATGAGGTACTATATAGATGTTAACTACGATTATCAGCATCATTGTTGTTACCATTATTACAATGCTAGCTCACTTCAAGATTGGTTATTTATTGCCGCATAAGAAACCACTCTAAAAATCTGTGGCTGAAAAATAAAAATCATTTACTTGCTCATGATTTTGTAATGGGGAAAAGTCTGTGCTTTGCATAATATAGGCTGGAGAACCCATGATAACTTCACAGTCATGTCTGGGGCCTCCACTGGGTTGGTCAAGTGGCTATGGCAAAGCTGAGCTTCTCTTTCTTTGTAATCTCACATCATCCATGGCTTTTCTCCACATAGCCTTCCTCTTCAGTGCAGTAGTGTAAGATTTTTAAATAGTTGCTCTGGGCTCTGAGAGGGCAAACACAAAAGCTACAAGGCCTCTTAAGGTAAATGCTTGAAAAATCTCAGAATGTGATTTCTACCACATTCTGTCATTTAAAATGAGTTACTAAAGCCAGTCAGATTTAAGGAAAAGGAAATAAACCCATCTCTTGATGAAGGATAGCAAAGTCACCTTGTAAACTTACGTAACTCATGTGGCCATCTTTGGAAAAAATTTACCTCAATTTTTGCACACTCCTTTGGGAATAGCCTCAGTTAACTATGGTCACAGGTATATTCGCATTGGACCAACAAATCTCAAAAATACCTTCCAAGTCAGCTATCGACTCAAATTGTTATGTAGCAATGTGTAGGCAAGGGCTTCTCTGTGTGCTACTGCAGGGTCCTGCCAGGTGGGCTGGCTGCATCTTGGCAGGAAGGCCTCTGGATGTGGACTTTGAATTTTTTCCTACTGAGCACAACTACAGCCTCATTTATTTAATGGCCATCAAAGTCTTTGTGCTAACTGACTGTCTTTGCTGGCCGTGAATAAAGGACTCACACCTGAAGAGAAGAGACTTCTTAAAAGAACGCAGACTTCTTAAATATACAATTGCAACTGTGGTTTCTCAGTACAATTATCAGTTTCTTGTTTATTTTTAAAGCATGTAAATTATCTGATTTACAAAACTATCTTGATGTATTAAAGTTGGCGATTTTACTACTAAAGTAATCATTTCAGGTCTGTCCACAGTTCTATTTTGATAAGCAAAACTTGGCATGCATACCCTTCCAGGCTCAAAATGTAATTCCTACTGGGGAGCTAAAATAAGGTTTCCACCTGGCCACTTTAAAAATTAAATGATTTTTAAAGTGTTGTTTTTCTACGATGTCCAAGCAGATCTTGGCAAGACTCGGAAACGCAGCTGTTCTTTTCACCATGTCAATGTTACTTAATTAATCCATGAGGGCTAGACTTCCTGTAGTTACTACTGATCTTATCCAGCACCCTGTTTGAGGCCAACATCAGCATTTTGCAATATTACCCTCTTCTCTCCCCTCCTAATAAATCCAACTTCTAAACTATTAGCAATGTCAGCAGGATTCACAGAATGTTACTTAACAGGTCAACAAAACTTTCAATTCCCCCTCCTTAGACCTATGATCTCTTCTCTGTGAAAGTTCTCTCACTACTAGAACCCTATGTCTCCTCTCTGCTTTCTTGAAACCACTTTATTCTCACAAGCAATCCTAAACTTGGATACTCTACTCAACTAAACTAAGCCTTCTATGACTGGTTTTCCTCATCCCCTTTCTCCTAGAAAAGCAGCTATGGGATTATAAATGTTTATAGGGTGGGTTCAGTAAAAAGAAGTTCCTTCCCATCTATCCCCATTCACTTTATCGAAGATTTCACTGAACAAGGCAAATCTTGAGGCAGAGAGAGAAAAGTAGGGTGGGGAGTGTTAGGGAGCAATAAGGAGCTCTACTTGTAAGAAAAATAAAAAGCAACAATCTGTTATGGGAAAGAACTTCTTTTTATCCTTGATTTTTCCATTCACCTATCAGACTCTTGCCCCTCAGATTATCAAGTACAAAAATAAAATGTACCGTTTCCTGGCCAAAACAACCAACCATGAAGTTTGATTTAAACATGTCACCTTCTACCATGAATCCAGCACTAAGCAAGGCAGAGGAGGTGCAGCCGAATTCTCTTTCCATCTGAAAACTATCAACTTTCTAGAGACTCCCAGATATGTGATTTCTAGAGAGCAAGATAGTACAGGAAAAAATTAGGCACGTAACAGGTTATTAAAAGGTGAAAGCTATAAAATTCAGAAAAGCCAAGTGCTCAGAATCAACTGGGGCAGTCAGAAAAGGTTTCGAGATCTGACCATGCTGGAGTGGTGACATCATGGCCCAGACAATTTATTTTTAGTAGATAAAAAGTTTGGGGTTGGCAGGTGTTTTTGTTTCTGTTTTTCATTATTTTGAAGCCATCAACTCATTACCCTCTGGCTTGCAGAGTTTCTGAAGGAAGTCTGCTGTAATTCTAACCTTCATTCTTCTCTATGTATTTCTTCTCTAATATGTTTCTCTAAGATTTATTTTTTAAATTTCTGCCAGTTTTCAAATTTTTTGTCTATCATTGGTTTTTAGGTGTTTGAGTATAGTGTATCTAAATGATTTTGGGGGGTATTCATCCTGAATGTGGTTAATATTCTTGGGTCTATGGTTTGATATATTCTATTATTCTTGAAAAAATCTCAACTATTATGCCTTCATATATTATTATACCCTATGCTCTCTCTTTTCTTCATTGCAGATTCCAATTACACCTATGTTAGCCTGTTTGATATTATCTCAAACTCCTGAATGCTCTGTTTTTTATTTCTTTCACTCTTTTTTCTCTTTGAATTTCAGTTTGAGTAATTGATATTGGCCTATCTTCAAATTCACTAATTCTTTTCTAAGCTGTATCAAGGCTACTGATGAAAGCATTCTTCATCTCCATATGTTTTGTTTCTAGCATTTTCATTTGACTCTTTCCCATATGCTCCATCTCTTTACCAAAATTTCCAATCTGCTACTGCATGTTTCTACCTTTTCCATATTAAAGCATCTAACATGTTAATCATACGTATTTTAAACCTCCTATCTGATAGTTTCAATATCTAGATCACCTGTGAGTCTAGATGTGTTCTAGACTCATCTAGAGTGATTGTGAGACATAGTGTGTCTAACAGTGAGCCTAAGGAAAATAATAGTTATGCCTGGAAAGTTGAATAAATTTAATTAAGAGCTGGGTTTTTAATTTATTATTATTGCCATGGTCACCTTCAGTGCATCATCAGCTTCAAATTCCTCTGGCATTATCTTTCACTTTTTATTAATATAATTGAGTTGCTTGCCATTTCTAAACCAATTACTAGCAAGGAAAGTGGAATTACCATGACTGATTTAGACTAGCAAGTGGGAGTAATTCCCTGAGTCCATGGATGGGTCCAGATTCCCAGCAGCATTTAGCTATTCAGTTTCCTAAGAATGCCACGGTTTTGTTAGTAAAGAGAAAGAGAGAAATGACTATTAGGTATACAGTCAACTTTTAAGTTTATGCCAAGACTAAAGCATGGTGACTTTTGTAGATCACCTTAACTCTTACGTTTACAACTGCATGTCTGGCCTTAAGAACTTGCCACTCTGATGACAAGATGGAGAGCTAAACCTAAATAAGAAGTTTTCTTCCTGCTTCGCCTCCATACCTCACATTATGGGACAGAGCCCCTGATCTGCCAGCACCACCTGAGGGTCTGGAAACCACCCAAGCGATGGAAGAGGACCAGGAGCTGGAAAGAAAAATATCTGGATTGAAGACTTCAATGACTGAAGGCGAGAGGAAGACAGTCCTGGAAATGGTCCAGGCAACTGGAACAGATAGACACTGTGTGACATTGTATTGCATGAGGAAGACCATACCCTGGGAAATTCTCTACATTACATGATCATGAAGAACCCGGAAGTGGAATTTTGTGGTTACACGACGACCCATCCTTCAGAGAGCAAAATTAATTTACGCATTCGGACTGGAGGTACCCTTCCAGCTGTTGAGTCATTTCAGAGAGGCCTGAATGAACTCATGAATGTCTGCAAACATGTGCTTGACAAGTTTGAGGCCAGCATAAAGGACTATAAGGATCAAAAAGCAAGCAGAAATGAATCCACATTCTAGTCCCTTATGCAGTATACAAGGAGAACTGTCCTCTAGGATATTCTCTTCCTGATGGTGCAGAACCCAGAATTAGAAGTTTGTGGTTACAGCACACTCTGTCCTTCAGAAAGGCGTGATTCTAGCTGGTGACCCCTTGCAGCTGTTGGAATCTCTGCAAGAACCTCTGTATTCTTCTAATAAATTCCCTCTTGTATTTTTTTTTTAAAGAAGTTTTGCAGAACCCAGGCCCATTTATATTTCTTACTCTAAAATGCCACCTTGTAATATCTGGTCCAGCTGTGTCCTTGAATATATGCTGAAGTCACAGATTCTTCTACAGTATATTGGACTGGGTGATGGTGAAAAGGGAGATTTGGTTTATGCTTTTCCTAGAATAGTAGCTCTCAAACTCTAATGATGCATCTGCGCAATCACTCTCTTCCTGGCATATTCGCAAAATAAAAATAACTAACATTCACATATTTACCAATCATGAAACTCTTTTGCATATTAAGCTCCCCTAAACACAACAACAACAAATGAGCCAGCTAACAATCAACTGCCCACGTTATTTATACCAAAACATCCTGCCTCTAATTTGTTGTACCTTCATCATCTAGGTGATGTCACCCTTTCCTTTTATTGATCCTTCTCTTTAAGTTTTTTCCCAACATGTGCCTAGTACCTTCCTAATATTTATGGTTATCCAATCAGAATTTCTTAAAGTGCTGTAAATTATTTTCCCCACGATTCTTATTAAAGTTACTGTCTTAGTCCATTTTCTCTTATTATAGCAGACTACCACAAGTTGAGTAATGTAAAAAACATGAAAGTTTATTTAGCTCCTGACTCTGGAGGCTGGGAAGTCTCAGAGCATGGTGTCAATATCTGCTGAGGGCCTTTTGCTGCATTGTAACATGGAAGAAGGAATCACATGGCAAGAAGGCAAAAGCAAGAGAGCCAGAGACAGCTTACTTTTATAACAGCCATTCTCAAACACAGCCACTTCCATGATGATAAACCCACTCCCATTGATAGCAATATTAATCAATTAATGAGTGCAGAGGGATTACATTTTCAACACATGAATTTTTGCGGGACACATTCAAACATTACAAATTCCTATTTATGAGTGCCCTGGCTTCAAACTATTTGTAAGGAGGGAAATTTTTCTTCCCGACTCACATCAAGATGTACATTATTGACAAAATGTAGTGATGGGATAAAAAATGAATTAGGTGTTTTCTTATATCTTTGTAAATGATTCAAACCTGAATTAGGTATTATTTTACTGCAAGTTTGTAAGAAAACATAAAATTCTGTACATAGGTAAAATGCAATCACCACTTTGTCTTTTAAATTCTAAAATAGTTTTTAATTGATAGTGATTATGGAAAATATACATTGTTATTATAATAGATGTCTTAGTTTATATCATGCTTACATTTACTTAAAATGGAATATTTCAAAGAAAAAATACAATTAGGCTTAAATTTTCTATTATTTACTTCCATGACTATATGTGTCCTGCAATTGTCAAAATGTTCTGTGGCTTTGGGGATGCAGCAGAGGAAAATTGAGGCTATGCCTTTGTCAAATGACATTAGTCCATAAAATACTCATAGTTCCTTATATTTCCTTTAATATTTTGTGACACATTATGGAGGTATAGACTGTTACACAGTTTCGTTTCAGCAAGGATTTAGATGAAAAGCTGCTCTATCTATCTATGAAGGCAGTCCCCAGTTCTCAAACATTATTTGCACATTAATCTCATCAAAGAAAAATTTGAACTTTATGAGACCTTTTCAGAAACCTAAAAGGCTATCAATGTCTTTAAAAAGATAAGAAGGGGCTGAGCGCAGTGGCTCACGCCTGTAATCCCAACACTGCGAGGACAAAATGGGTGAACTGCTGAGCTCAGGAGTTTGAGACTAGCCTGGGTGTTTTAACATGGTGAAACCCTGTCTCTATCAGCAATTCAAAAATTAGCTGGGTGTCATGGCCCCCATCTGTGCTCCCAGCTACTCAGAGGCTGAGGTGGGAGGATCATTGAAGCCCAGAAGTTGAGGCTGCAGTGAGCAGTCATTGTACCACTGCATGTCAGCCTGGGTGACAAAGTGAGACCCTGTCTCAAAAAAAAAAAAAAAAGATAAAGATAAAGATAAGATGGGGGTGGTGAAGGAAGATCTTTGCCAGGAAACAAGAAATACCCTGGGGCACAAATGTTTGGCATCCTCTCCTTGCAAACCATATTTGTCTAATATCTTAACTATCTCTCATCTAGCCAACAACAATAGTCTCTGAATGATCTTGATTCCACTCTTGAGCTTCCATGTCTGCTCTCCACACTGAAGTCAGAGAGGTCTTTAAACATTTTTAAATGATATAAATGATATGATGTAACATTTTATTTTTGCTACTTTTACTATTTTACTACTCTAGCCTTCTTTCTGCTACATGAGCACATCAATCTGATTCTAACTTCAGGGACATTTCACTGCCACTCCCTTAACTCAGAATTCTACTTATGCTTTTCATGTTTAACTTTTGTGAGTATTATAAATATATATGTGTATATATGTGTATATATATATTTATGGGGTAGCTGAGATGTTGTGACACAGGCATGCAATGCGTAATAATCACATCATGGAAAATGGGGTGTCCATCTCCTTAATTATTTATCATTGTGTTACAAACAATCCAATTATACTCTTTTAGTTATTTTTGAAATGTACAATTAAATTATTATTGAGTATAGTCATCCTGTTGTGCTATTGAATAGTAGATCTTACTCACTCTATTTTACACTCATTAACCATCCCCAACTTCCCTCCACCCCCACTCACCTCACCCTTCCACTACCCTTCACAGCCTCTGATAATGATCCTTCTATTCTCTATCTCCATGAGTTCAATTGTTTTTATTTTTAGATCTCATAAATAAGTGAGAACATATGATGTTAGAATTTCTGTGCCTGGCTTAATTAACTTCACAGAAAGGTCTCCAGTTCCATCTATTTGTTGCAAATGACAGAATGTCATTCTTTTTATGACTGAATAGTACTCCATTGTGTTGATAAGTGAAAAAGTTCAGCCAAATTAAATTTAAAGGAGTTTAATAGAGCAACAAACAATTTGTGAATTGAGCAGCCTCCAGAGCTAGAGTAGGCTCTGAGACACCAGTGCAGTCATGTGGTAGAAGAAGATTTATGGACAGGAAAAGAAAGTGACTTACAGAAAATGAAAGTGAGGTACAGAAACAGCTGGACTGGTTACAGCTTGGCTTTTGCCTCATTTAAACATGAGTTGAACAGTTGGCTACATTTGATTGGCTAAAAGTTGGTGATTGGCACAAGTGTAGGCTATGATGTATTTACACCTCCACTTGTTCACAATGTACAGAAAAGCCTTTAGATTGAAATTAAAATATGTAAGGAGGCAGCTTTAGGCTAAATTTGATTGAGCAATTCTTCCCTTTTGGTCATCTTCTCAATTTTGAGAGATTGACCAAAACTTTAGTCATTGATGTCACTATCACCATTGTAAATGTATTTATTTAGTCTTGAAACCCTCTTGGAAACAGTAGAACAGTGGGTTTTGCAAGGTGGGAACAAAGACTTCAGGCTATTATTTTTTTAAGGGTTAGAGTAGAAGGTACCTCCTTATGCTGGAATGTCTTGTTAACAGGATAAAACAAACAAACAAGGAAAGAAAAAACAGGACCTGGTACGTTCTGGATATGTGTTTTCTCCAAGTCTTAGTGTGACTATGTCACATTTAACATGAGTGACTCCATTTTGGTTTGGTCTGACCCACTGGGGCCTAGTGCATTACCTCAGTCCAAAACAATAGCCTCCCATAATTTTGTTTAAAAATTCCCCCCCTTTGGTCAGGTTCTCACTTAGGCAAAAGTGTGTCCAAACCTTAAGGTCTTAGCAGCACTGTCAGTTACCATCATTTTGGATTTTTGGTCTCAGCATGTCATTCATAGGGTACAGTGCTCTCATGGTCTCACATTTCCTTCAGCTCTTGTCATTCCAGTTAAAGAGAGACCATTTGATATTCTGGAGATGGCCGCATGCAAACATTTAAAACTTTTGAGAGGATATAGTGCACCAGGGAGACTACTGTTATGACTATCAGGAGGATAACACCAAGAGTTTGGAGTATGCTCCTTAGCCAGGATCCCTATAAACCAAACCACCTAAAATTAAATAGATCAGAGAATTAGCTAGATAAACAGTCTACTTGCTTAACTAAGCAGTCTCTTAGTTTATCCCCTACAACTGAATCTCTATAATCTACATTTGATGTATTTCTCCATAGACCACAAGTGCCAGCAGCTGCACAGATACTTCTGTTTAGCCAGTAAGTAATCTAGAGCAATTCTATTATTTACCATAACTTTCACAAGAGATTTTAAAGTCTGTTATGTACCATGGCCTTTCCAGTAGAATCTTCTATAGAGCATATAATGAGGTATTCATTTATAATCATTGCCTCTTTTACTCCAAACTATGGAACAAAAGATCTAACAAATATAGTGCTTCTAGAAGAGTGAAGCCCTCCTGACAATGTTCTCTTTAACCCATTGTGTGGGTAAAGAGGAGTAAACCAACATTTTGTTTCTGACTGATTATGGGGCACTAAATCTACCATTAAAGTTTCTTACTTATGCTGAGTCTTCCTCTTTCATCTATCAAGCGTAAGGTTATCTATGTATAAGGCTGGCTGCAAAATCCTTCACAAATGAAAGTATACCCCATGAGTGCACACGATGGATCCCCTTTTCACTTCTCTTTTCCATAGAGGCATATACAAGCAAAAAATATTCAAAGATAAGAGTCTCATGACACTAGAAGTCTTAATCCATGATCCTGGGAAATGCTGTTCACAACAAGGATGCCATCTTTTTGGAGGGAGAAACATCCCTGATTAGCTTTACCTTAAGGAAATTTTGAAGTTCCAAGAGTGTGGAGGGAGCCTTCTCAGGGATTGTAAGATTATGAACCCAAGGTTCAAGGTCTTAAAGTCTTGCTGAACTGTGGATGGCAAGGGCAGTCTTTCTCATATGTTCTCAGAAGATCCAATCTTCAGGTTCTGGATTGTGAGTCCTCAGTCAGTGAATCATCAAAAGCTTTCTTTACCTGGGGAAAATACACCGTGGCATAATGATCTACTGTCATAACATCAGCCCCATGGGAAAACTTTTA